ACTAATAATAAAACTTATCCAAAAAATAAAAAAAAAGATTCCTCAAGAATGGAGACCACGCGTCCTCATACCTCCCTTTTAAAAGGGGGACAAATCAGACCCAAAAAATTTCAGAGAAATTAATTTATTAAATAAAATATAAAAATAAACAACCTAGATATAAAGATTCTAGTGAGGGTGGCATGTACATACAAAACAGTCTCTGTCGAGGCACTATCAGTAATCGAGCAGTAATCGCCGGATGTATTCCGATGCACCTGCTAGTGAAGGAAAGAGAAAGAATAATCAAAAGACTGAAGAAAAGAGAAAGAATACACGAGATAAGAAATAAAGACATAGCAATAGAACATTTAAAAACAAGAAAGGCAGTTGTGTATAATCTAATATAAGTCGCTCATTCCTAATCTGTGAAGATGAACTGCAGGTACCGGCGTTTGAATAACTTCCTGACGGAGATCCTGACAGAGCACGGTTGCTTCAGGACATACCTTTACAGATTAAAAAAAAAACAAAAAATGATAAATGCCTGTATTGTGAAATATCTGTCATTATGTCACTCACTCTATTGGTATGCGATTAATGGATATATGAGAGAACCCTGCTTGAAAGAGAGCTAATAAGAAGAATGCAATCAGTCAAGAAACTAGTGGAGGAGTTCAGATCAGTGAAGAGCAGTTTAGAGATATGTGAGGAGAACGTTGGAGAGAAAGGAACAAGAAAAAAGGCGATACGAATTAAGGCAGGGTGCCCAGGAGCAAAAAAAAGGCAGAATGAGAAGGAGCGAGATTGAACCCGAACAGGAAAGAACAGAGGAAGGGAAAAATTTAGTTGTAGTAAAACAGTGATAAAATGCATGAGAATTGTGCGTAAATAAGAGATCGGGTGAATGCCGTGCCGATGTTGCGACCGTATTATGGCGGTAATTCACCTCTAAGGGAGGTGTTTTTTTAGCAGGTATGTCTGGGTAGGTCTATGGCATTGACGGCGATGGTATCCGAACTACCCTGCGCACGGTCTCGGATATCATCGTGGCCACACTGGAGGAATTCTGCATCACCGAGGCTAGAAATAGGTTCTGCCACCATCTAGGACCGAGGTAGGTTTTGAACATTTGGAACACTCCCCTCCCTTATAAAAGACGAAAAAAAAGTTTAAAAGAATTGCTTCACAAGTGATTTACTTATGGGAAGATATTTACCTAATCATTTTTAGCAGTACAATTTTGTGGTGGCCTATAATATGTAGATAAAATATTCAATTCTAATATGATACATTTTACGATACCACCGCAAAATAAAATTGCATCCTGGTAATATTTATTCGGTTAAAACTGCGACGAGTGCATATCCATTCTACAATAGTTTGGAAATTAAGTCTAACCTTGTATACTGGATACCGTAAAACCAAGTTTAACTTACTGATGCAATATGGATTTTCAGCTGAAAAACCGCAAACAATGGACCGGTAATTCCATTGTGAAATTCGTAAAGTTTGTAGTTATGTGAATATGTTACTTATTACTAAAGTCAATGTCGTAGCTAATCGTTTTGTTGGTACTAAATTGTGTTTAATCGTTAGTAAATTTTACAAAGTTGTATTATATTATTTCATAAAATGATTTGGTTTGAAGGTATGCTTAATTTTATGGTTGCGGGAAGGATTGATTTTTTGAAAATTTTTGGGGCAAAAAATATATTATTTTTGGGACAATATTTTTAAAGTGTAAGTACACGATATATTTTCTTAGCGGATAACCCCAAAAAAGATAATTTACAGTTAAAGAAAAAAAGTTTTGTCTCATCCAATACATTATGCTCTTTTGTAATTCTTATTCAGAACATTCTTGAAATGTGTTTGGAATTCTCGAACTTTTTTTGGAACATTCTTTTGGAAAATATGTTCTCGGTAACAACCAGCCCCAAAAGTCCACTGCGAAACCAACGCTTCTCACATCTTCCCTTGGTCTCTATTCCTATAACCTCTTTGTCCATCGCTCCAAATTCTTAAGAGGATGTTCCAGCACCGTATTAAAAAGTTTTGATGACATTGGGTCTCCTTGTGTAACCTTTGCTGCTCTATTTTTATGCAATATTGTAGGTTTCAATTGTATAATAATTTTGGGTATTTTTAATCCAGCCTGCATTCTTTGGGCGCCTGTAGTATTTAGCTTAGCTCAACTGTATCAAAGGTCTTGTGAAACTCGATAAATATTCGCTCGGGAGGTTTATTGTATGCCACTACATTCTCTATTAGGGTTTTTATGCTTTAAATATGGTTATTAGAAGGATATAAGCCTAAAAAATCAATTGTTTTTACGCGAGATCATGTGAATAAATTCTGAGATAAAAGTGCTTTACTTTTATGTCTAGACGTAAAAGTAACATTTTTATATTGTCAAATTATCAAACACGTCAAAAAATTAATACTTAGAATACAATAGAATAGAATAGAATAGAATAGAATAGAATAGAATAGAATAGAAATAGAATAGAATAGAATAGAATAGAATAGAATAGAATAGAATAGAATAGAATAGAATAGATAGAATAGAATAGAATAGAATAGAATAGAATAGAAAGAATAGAATAGAATAGAATAGAATAGAATAGAATAGAATAGAATAGAATAGAATAGAATAGAATAGAATAGAATAGAATAGAATAGAAATAGAATAGAATAGAATAGAATAGAATAGAATAGAATTGAATAGAATAGAATAGAATGGAATAAAATAGAATAGAATAGAATAGAATAGAGTAGAATAGAATAGAATAGAATAGAATAGAATAGAATAGAATAGAATAGAATAGAATAGAATAGAATAGAATAGAATAGAATAGAATAGAATAGAATAGAATAGAATAGAATAGAATAGAATAGAATAGAATAGAATAGAATACAATAGAATAGAATAGAATAGAATAGAATAGAATAGAATAGAATAGAATAGAATAGAATATAATAGAATAGAATAGAATAGAATAGAATAGAATAGAATAGAATAGAATAGAATAGAATAGAATAGAATAGAATAGATAGAATAGAATAGAATAGAATAGAATAGAATAGAATAGAATAGAATAGAATAGAATAGAATAGAATAGAATAGATAGAATAGAATAGAATAGAATAGAATAGAATAGAATAGAATAGAATAGAATAGAATAGAATAGAATAGAATAGAATAGAATAGAATAGAATAGAATAGAATAGAATAGAATAGAATAGAATAGAATAGAATAGAATAGAATAGAATAGAATAGAATAAATAGAATAGAATAGAATAGAATAGAATAGAATAGAATTGAAACCCATTGAAATCTACTTTTTCTAAAACTAAACCTAACAATGAATAATAAAGGACAAGGAATTGTATTTATAAAATACCTTGTGAATGCGATCAGTTTTAATTAGGTGAAACATCAAGGCCATTAAATTTTAGAATAAGTGAACATCAATCGTATGTTAAAAATAGAGAATTTGATCAATCTCAAATATGTAAACTATGATTCAAGTATAGTCCTAGAAGAAACGGATGGTAAAAAGAGAAAAATCAAAGAAGAGCCTTTAATTATGCCAAATGAGACCAATTGTGCCGCAAATTCGTCGGCAAAATGCAGTAGGGTCTGTTACCCATATTAAAAAACGAAATTAATAAAATTAAAATACCAGTATTAGTAAGTCAGTAACGTATAGAGGATACATTTGTGTTTTTTAAATAATAAACATATAAAATCAGAATTTGGTCTTTATTGAGAGTAGATTAAATGTAAGACCAAATACTTACCATGTCGAGATGGTATTATGAATTTTTTTTTCTATTTTTGTCCTCATGATTTACTATGGAATCACTAACAGGAAAATTTTACTATCATCCCTTTTTGTCTTCTGAAAGACGAATTACATGCTATAATTTTTCTGACGGATATTCTCAAGTTAAAGTTAATTTCATGTAATCGAATGAACTATGAATTATGAACCCCTCGTCCTGAAACCCTGAAAAGTCGTCCCACAAACGCAACTTAGCAATAATACAAACACAACTTTCACGAACGCAACAATATTGGCAATATCATTTTAAAGTCGTCTACTTTAAAATGTATAATATATGTCTAAATTGTCAATATAAATAAGTATCATAATAAATGTTTATATTTTGAGAACGATTTTATTTGGTAAGAATTTTTTGTAGCTTAAGCATGAGTTTCTTGAGAATATTTTCAATAAACGTTTAATATTTTCCAGTTAATTTATTATTTTTTTTAAGAGATAATAGTAATGCTAAATCGGCAAAATTTCAAATGCTGTATAATTACAAAACTTATTCACAATTGTGATATATAATCAACATAATAAAGTACTTTAGATAAGAAAGGTAAAATCCCGAGTCGTCTAAAGTTAGTTTCTGATAGGAATAATAGCATATTAATATAAGTTTGCAAAAAAGGTCGATGAAATACCTACTCTAATGAATTACGCTATGATCACGTTTGTTTGATTTTATAGTAATTTCCAGCCACTTCTAGTTTGTCAAAAAGTAACTATCTTCTGCCCAAAAATAATTACTAAATTCACTAGACAGTTCAGATTGGCATTAGCGAAACGACTATAGTAAGTCTAGAACTTAAGTAATATGTATGATCACTCTAATCCAAGGCAAGCAATTTAATCAGTTTTGTTTATCTAATGATTTTATATGTTTTATGATGAATTAGAGTACTAGTTATGTATCTGTTATTCATATCCGTACCCTCTTCCAGTGATGACACCGAGAATAAGCAGCGAGCCTTTTCTTCATTGCACTCAATTGTAGTTGTTTAATCATATTTAAAATTACATTTTACACTATAGGTATATATATATATATATATATATATATATATATATATATATATATATATATATTTATATATATATATATATACATATATATATATATATATATATATATATATATATATATATATATATATTATATATATATATATAATATCATCCAATACTAATAAATAACTTTTTATATTTGTAGGGTTGGAACTACATATTTATAAACACATTTCTGGAAATTACATAAATAATAAAACTACTACTATAATAAATATTAAGAGTTAAAAATTACGACTATTCAAAAATTCAAATAAATCTTTTAGTCGATCATTATATATTTCCTTATTTTTAATGTCGAATTCCATTCCGGCCATCATTTTGTCCATATCCTCCAGAGCATCAGAGAATTCTGGTGCTTCTTCAGTTTCACATAGCATTATTTTTAGTACTATAGTGACTGTAAGTATATGATTCAAAACATAAAAATTGGCATGTTCTTCAAATGTTGCATATGGGAATACTTCTTGTGGATCACAGTCAAAGTTCTCCAATTGTTTGGATAGCGTGTTGTAATATAAATCTAAATACTCCTCATACTTATTTAAAGTTTCCTTGTCTGCATGTACTAGAAAGAAGTACGCAAAATCATAAAGAGGTGAATTAAGACTGGCCAACTGCCAGTCGATTATACAAATTTTGCTTGGTGTGATACGGTTTTGAGAATCCTAAAATAAATAAAATCATTTTTGTAAAATAAAATATTAGTTAGGTTATTGTTAAAGAATAATGTTTTTTTTTTAGGAAACAAACAGAACTTAGTTTTTATAAGTATAACAAAGAATAGAAGTATTCAAAATTATATAAAAATAGACGATTTTAAAACATGGAGCGACAGAGTAAGGTTTAGTGTAAATTGCTTGTGCATATTTGACTTTAGGCAACATTATTACGATTAAGTTGTTTCAAGTATTAACTCATTCACGCCCGGAACTATTCTTGCTTATTTTTTTTATTTCTGAAAAAAATATGCTATAAAACTCAAAAAATTAGCAACAACATATGTTTAAAAAATGTAAAACTTAACTGTTTACATGATAATTGACTGTTGCAAAAACGCAACACTGGGCAGGTTGTAAAAATAATTTTAAAAATACGTTGTTTGGAATGTTTTGTTAAATTATATAAAGAAATTGTAAATAAACTGACTTTAACATAATATTAAAAATTATTGAGTATTACAACAGTATAAAGAGGTTCCACAGTAAAACTACTCGTCTGTCGGCACTTTGATCTCAGGAAGTAATACCGGCAAAGTACGAAATTGGTAATCCACCACCGTTAACCTTACAGAGCCGTATTAAAATTTTCTGAGCCTACTACTATTAATTTATTTAAATAAAAAATACGGCTTCCCATATTTAACTGTCCAGATGTTCTCACTAAATGTTAATATTACAAAAACAAAGGGTTTAATAAATTAAAAACAATATTATAATTCAGTGTTTATATTTTTCAACGGTATTTTAAATATCAACGGTATTGCGCAAGTTTTAAAATCTCAATGGTTTTTAATATATTGTACATGTCATATAAACGTTAAATAAAAAGGAGGTTAATTTTGAAGCTCTCACGGCATCGGCATTACTATACTCTGTTTTTAAACCAGGAGGAGTAATTCAAGTTTACCGCGTCATAACGCTTGTTTATAATTCGTCCAACGGCAGGCAAGTTTACTCCACTGTTATGAAATTTTGACATTTATGAAATTTTGTCCTTATTTACATTTCGTAGGTGAATTTGGTTATATCGGCGATTTTTTGTGTTTTCTGCATTATTCGTTTAGTTTTAGTTGTAGTCTGCAAAAAATTAATTAAATTTTGCAATAGTCTTTTCGTCAAATCAATCGCGTAATGTGCAAGAATACATTAATTAAAATTCAAACTGCTGAAAAGATGTTTTGTGGTGATTTTTAGCCACAAATTTAAATAAAAAAATTCTCTTCGTCTTTCTTATTTTTAACAATTTCAACAATTTTTTAATAAAATAAACGAATATCAACTATTCTAATTCGGAAATAAGCTAAAATTTAACTTGAAAGAATAATTTTATTAACGTTTCGTCTTCCAAGTCAGACGTCGTTGTCAAAATACAAAAATAAATTATTATTTTGTATTTTGACAACGTGGAAGTCGAAACGGTAATAAAATTATTTTTTTTTCAAGTTAAATTGTGTCCTAGTAAGGACGTGAGGAGTCAGATCAACAAAGCATCTGCATTGTCAGGATGTCTGCCAGAGATAGTCTAGTCAAATCCATTTTTAAACTATAAGTAAATACAGTGATCAAAGGAGAATGAGATTATGTCCAATGTTATCTATTACACAATATTATCCACTTTCAGCAACATTTAGGATGTATGAATTAGAAATCAGTCTTAAGAATAAGAAAAATACTTCGCCGGGAATAGAGATATATGTACGTTATATTATGTTGAAAAATTTATATCAAAATAGAAAAAGAACACTATTAAATTTTTTTAAATCAAGAACAAATCAAATCAGAAGATACTTATTTCAGATAGTTGGAGAAAGTACCGGGTGATTCCTATGTTCCTCCTAAAAAAATGAGGAACTTGGACAATATATGGCAAAATAGCTCTTGAAATAAATATAGAGCTGCATAAGAATTTATTATATTATAGAAGAAGTAATTATCAAAAAAATACATTATAAAACTAAATTATGAATTACTTAACTAACTAAATTATCAAAAAATATAAAAAGGATTATTTATTAGAAATTAATGTTAGTATTAGTTTACACATAAAATTGTAAACAAAACATGACTTATAAGTAAAAACAAAAATTAAAATTTGAGAATGTATTTAGTGTCCGCAGTTATATAAACCCAAACAAACAACACGTTTTAAAGCTAATTATGTTTCCAAATTATTTATTTCCTATGTACTTTTGTCTTAGATACTCTAAAATTTTTATTAATTATTTTTAATGTGTAATATATTTTTATTCTAGCCTATAATCTAATAAGATAGCCCTTTGGAAAATTGCTGCAAGGATGCGTATATGGTATTTTTTCGAATAAGCTAACGTAGTTTTGTAAGATTTTCGGTTGATGACTAAAATTTTGAAAATTCTCTTGAAAAATAATTTCCAAATCTGTAACATACTGCACAAAATTTTGGCTCGGCATATAGAGCTTGCCAAAAACATTTGTTTCATTACCACTGTAGGCTTTAACGTAACAAAACAGAGACGAATCGTGTAGTTCATCGTACTCTCTCCCATATGCTTCACAGATTTGACAAACATGTTTCCTAAGACTTGTGAATATATATATATATATATATATATATATATATATATATATATATATATATATGTATATATATATGTATATATATATATATATATATATATATATATATATATATGTATATATATATATATATAAATATATATATATATATACGTATATATATATATATATATATATTATATATATATATATATATATATGTATATATATATATCACATATACATATATATATATATTGTGAAGTTTTTCTGTAATTTATTTGAAGTTTGATATTTTTGGTCATCCAAAGTGTTTTCAGGAACCAAAGCAGTGGTTGTAGGATCGTCGGTTCTACATAATCGGTTAAATTTAACAAAATATGGCCTGCATCTCTTTCGCAATTTTCTGTACCGGAATGCATCATGTCTAAACAAAAATATCTTTTGAATGCTGCGGTAAATTATACCGGAGTAGGGTTAACACAATTGCCACCTTACTGCCTGATTGAACCAAAAAAGATTTCTAGCCAATCTTGATTCATCCGCCTTGTTAAAAAATAATCCATTCCATGTGACTGTAGTAGATTCCACAAATGAATCACTCCATTAATGGTTATTTTCCAATCATTAATATATTTTATTCTTGGTGTTACATTTTTAGCTTTAAAATTAATTACCTGTAAATTATTAAACAATCGGAAACACGCATTAAGAAATTCTTACTAAGCATCGGTTCCTCTATACGGTCTTTGGTACTCAGTTGCTCCTCTTAATGAAGAAGAATTGAGCATATCAAATAAATTATTAATGTTCCTAATAAATCTTTCGGTTGTTGTTGCTTCCTCGACGAGTACAATAAATCTACAGATGCAGACCGGCAGCAACAGTGTTACTAAATATCTGAGAAGCCTATTTCACTTTCATGTTTTCAAAATTGTTAGGAGATATTTGTAATTCGGTCAATTTTGGCGCTGTACGTATAGGATATTGTTTATCATGTTCGTAAATTTTTTTAATATATTCAAAAAGAAACGATAATATCATCAATAACAAATTTGTTTCTTAGGAAGTTATTATGAAGTGCTCTTAATAAATGAGGTGTATCAAAAGAAAAGACAATTTTATTATTTTCATGACAAAAATATGGTCTATGGGCAGATATATTTAACAAATTTGGAAGTTTAAAATTATTAATACCACTTCGAATTTTACTCATGTTCAACTTCACAAAACTAAGTCAGTTTAACCCGTACGTTTCTACGCGACTAGCAACGGAAGAAGGGTTCTCGAGCGACTAAGAAATAAGCGCAGTCGCTCTGCGCGTTGACAGACCTTACTTCCAATTTTTCAGAGAGTGGTTCTACTGTGGAACCTCTTTATACTGTGGTATTACTATGATATATAACAAATTTTTTATGGAAGGCAACTATATTTAATACATTTTTCATTGGTTATTAAGTGACAAATGACGCATCGGGTTCGTTTTTCTTGGGTAGAAATTAGATAACTGATGTTGTCGAATCAAACATCCTGTGTAATCTTTATGGAAGATTGAGATGGACCAGGTCTTCTTTGAGGAGTTCCGAATATTTTCAACAAGGCTTTGGCTAATTTCGACGAAACTGCCGCAAATGAATTTCGGGTTGTTCCGGAATAATGTGTCTCATTCTACGGTAAATTAACCAAGCATTTTGTATGATGGCATTAAGACCCTAAATAAATAAAGACCAATACCATTTCTTGGATCTTATATATATTCAGTAATAGGCAACATTTTGATCTATCCAATCAGTTCCTCCCATATTTTCGTTATAAGCCCGAATAAGATGTGGTTGTGTTACTTTAATTTTTTTGCTTTGGACAGAGTAGTATCTGTTCACTTGATAAACTGGCATCGTTTTATGGTAATTCGATGCTTAAGTAACTATACTGTTGTCGTTCCACTCACGTAAAAGAACCTTATTTTCTCGTGTCGTACACATTTTCATAAATTCCACGTATGGAATTTTTAAACGTTTCACTAAATGGACACGTTTCTGGTCTATTTGACCGTGAGGTTCTCACATAACCTATTCTTTTCAATGTAAAAAATTCAATTAGTTTTATAGAGGTAAAACAACTATTAGTATATTATAATCAATAAGGCATAACCCTATCGCATTGAATTTTAGGAATAAGTTGGCAAACTGCAATATTATTCCACCTCCAATGCCAAATCCTTTTTTGTTTTCATTGGATTTTGCCTTGGCTGCTTGATAAATATTGAAATCTAGGAAGTAACTAGATTTCCGATTTTAACACCACGATTTATACCCAAAGCGTATGGGCTTGCCATTTATATGTTGTTTCCTATCATCATGCCCATATTATGGTATTGGCCTCATCTATGCTAGATTCGGTTTTTCAAACAG